AGCTAGCTATATATATATATATATATATATATATATATATATATATATTTATTTAAAAAATATGATTCCAACTCGCGACATAAGAGGTCTCATGTTTCAAAACAAGAGCCGAAAACTTCAATATAATTATTTGAATTAAATTGAGTTAAAGTAAGCTCTGTTCCATCTTCTTTTATTAACACGTAAATTTCAGAAATAAGTTATTCCAAAAATAATTTCTTAGTATTGTTCAAATGTTGGATTAAGCCTTGAACAATTTAGTTAATATCGTTAATCATTTCTTAGAAACGATTAAAGATATCTTACTGGAATTTTTATAACACTATTGCACTCTAATTTGAACAATAAGATTGTATTTAGCTGTAACTGAAATGCTGATCCCTTTTACTGTTGTGACCTCCTGATCCAGTTTTCTCTCTACTGTTCCCTCTTTTTTAAAATTATTCACCGTTTTCCTGATGGTTCTTGAATGGTGTTTGAAGATGGAAGCCAGAGTATGAATGTTCGTACCATTACTGAAAGACTGAATGATCTTTTTCCTCTCACCATTGCTCAGTTGGGAACATATAATGGGTCTGACACAAAACGATTTAAACTGTTCCCTTTCTAGCTGTATAAGTCAAATGGCTTTTCAGTGACTCTTACAACAAATGTCTAAACGTCTTACAGGAAAACCTGGGAAAAAAAATTCAATTAGTTTAGTTTAGGTCTTTTGGATATTATGCATCTTGGGGGATGCACAATTATCGCATGCTGTTACACGATTTAAAATATTTTGTTGTTACAACCGGTATATATATATATATATATATATATATATATATATATATATATTATGATTATTTTTAAAAACTATGATTCCATCGCGACAAAGATATTACTATGTTTCGAAATAATTTATGCTCTGCATCTGTATTGAGCCCTGTTTTTTAAAAATAAAAACATAAATACTCAAGAACTTTGGATCATTCATCTAACTGTTCTTTCCTATTACATCTTACATCAATACACACAGACATGAAATGATGACCCGTCTTGCTGTAGTAACCTCCTGATCCAGTTTTCTTCTCTAGTGTTCTCTCTTTTTTAAACTTATTCACCGTTCTCTTGATAGTTCTTGAACAGACTTTGAAGATGGAAGCCAGAGTATGAATGTTGGCACCATTACTGAAGGCCTGAATGATCTTTTTCCTCTCACCATTGCTCAGCTGGGATGACATAGTGGGGCTGACACAAAACGAATAATAGCCGAATAACTCAAAGGCTTTTTCAGTGATTTATTACGACAAATGTTATCAAGATGGCTGAACATCTTATCTGAAAACCTGGCAAAAAGAAACTCAAATAGTTTATTGATTTCTAGATATTAAACTTTTTGTGTGATGGACAATTATGGTGTTACATGATTTGGTCAATTTTGCTGTTACACCCGGTATTAAGAAACTTCACTATTGACATTAAAAAACACCTTTGTGCATATATATCAGTTGTATGGATATGAGTTTGTAACCCTGGGTTTCACGCTTTTGCGATCGTCAGACAAACTGATCGAATGAAACCCAGGGTTATAAACTCATATCCATACAACTGAATATGTTAGATCTATAACGTTTATTGAGCACTTACCACTAAGTACCGCATATATATATATATATATATATATATATATATATATATATATATATATATATATATATATGTACATTGTGGGGGTGAAAATATATATTAATTTTATAAACCAGATAATATTGGACAAATTAATGTCAAAGTGGAAAAATATTTTCCTGTGATGCGTTTAATCCTTTATGATTAAAATAATGTTTATATTGATATAATTACACATGCGTATGAAGGAGAAGGGCCTCTGAAATTTTAAACTTCTAAATTTAAAATTTTTAGATTTTTTTAAGAAATATGTGTTTGGATATATCGTGTAGACATTTATTTTTTTACAACATTTCACCTTGCTTGGCAGATCATCTATTATCAAAATGGTAGATACTTGATAACAAAAGGGATTAAAAAACAAAAAAACAAGTGCAAAATAAAAGGAACCTTATGAAATAGTCTGGACTAAAATGCGTCACACGAAATTTTCATTTTTCAATTATATATATATATATATATATATATATATATATATATATATATATATATATATATATAAAATAGATAGGTTGGTTAATAAAACAAGTGAAAACGAAAGGGTACCAATGTGATCAGTGCGAAAAAATTTGACCTATAGAAGACAGAAATGAAGCACGGAGATAAATGTTATTAGTCCGGAATTTTCGGGCACGCCTGTGACCTTTATCAGAAATAAACAGTGAAACGGGTAAGACTCACCAACGGTGGTTTTTTGTTTTGTTTTTGTTTTTCTGGCTTTTTTTTTTTTTTTTTTTGGTTTTCCTTTCCTAGTGTGGACTCGTTGTAGATGGTATTATTAGTACAAATCCGATCCCTGCTTGATTCCTCGACTGCGAAACTTTTTTGAAAAATGATCGGAGTGAACACATTAGTCTTTTTTATCTTTATCGGTGTACTTCATTTCTGTCTTGTCATTAACAATTAATATATAATAAATTATTTTCGCACTGATCACATTGGTACCCATTCGCTTTCACTTGTTTTATTAACCAATCTATCTATTTTAAATACTACAACACGCACACGTGGATACTTCCTATATATATATATATATATATATATATACTCGACTCTCTCGTCGAATTCAACGTACGAGGGTCAAGAAGATCAGTTCCGTGGAAACCGACAACAGCATATGAGATTTGATTATAGTGGGGAAGGTTTCGTGCAGGGCCATCCACACTTTTTGAAGGGCCGAATACAGAGACCTGTTGCACTACGTGCAACAAGGTCCCCAAACGAACCTCGGCAGGTTTTGAATTCCAGTAATTTTTTACAGAAATATATATATATATATATATATATATATATATATATATATATATAGTGTGTGTGGTGTAATACCGTTAATAATTTTAATAATTATTGGTCGGCTTTAAATTCTACCACTTTAGGTAACACAATATATTTTATTTCATGCAAAAGTACTCGGAACTATAGAACATTTGGACAGTTTCTACACACCTTGTGTCCAAAAAAGAAAGCACTTGTTCGAAGACTAGAAAAACTAAATAAAAAGCTTAACAGTAGTGCCTTGTCTGTCGTTTTTAATGAAACATGAATAAATGAAAGATTACTGTCTAACTACACTATATATATATATATATATATATATATATATATATATATATATATATATAGATAGATAGATAGATAGATAGATAGGTAAACCTAGTGAACCAGGCAAACCTACCCAGGTTTCACCTAAGCGGATCGTCAGGGAAAGCTGGCTATCTAGGTCTGCTCTACAGTTGTACTGAGCTCTTTTAGTTAGTTGTTTACTCGTGTCGGGGTTTTTTCTTTGGGCTTTGAACCTGTATCTGTGCGATTTTTTTCGACAGACTTTCATGTTTCTAGCGCTTTCTTTTTTTAAAAACTTTTTTTTCTTCGTGATTGATTTGATTATTGGCAAATCAAGAATTCGAAGGTTTTTGAAACGAGTATAGTTACCTATATATATATATATATATATATATATATATATATATATATATATATATAATTTCTCATCAGTAGCACGACTCGGAGATTCATGCACAACGAAATCTTCAGGTGCTGACTAGACACTTTACTCAGCACGTGGAATTGCGTTGGGCTAATCTCGAGTCGTGCTACCACTGAGAATAATATGTTTATTTATTAATATATACTTAATCGCCTTGTTATATTACAACAATCAGTATATTATTAACACCAGCACTCAATATGTGATATATATATATATATATATATATATATATATATATATATATATATATATCGCGATCGTGAATCTCGTGACCCATCAGGGTCGTAGGGGAACCCATGTACTGCAGTCAGAGTGGAAGTGGTGTTTCTTGGGAAAGATATCCTGATGGAACGCAACACTCACCAGGCCGGTTTTTGAATTCAAAGTTACCTTTTTCTCGGCCGGTTGCTATCCCAGGTTATAGAACCCAGTCTGTCCTGCTAATTACCCATAGTTGTGGGGAGAAGAAGAGGATTCATACTTTTTACATATATATATATATATATATATATATATATATATATATATATATATATATAAATCAGTTCACTTTAATGAAAGCAGTAAAACCATTATGACACAAGGGGTTACTTGGCGTGGAAGAATTCGAAAACAGAAAAATTACAAGGAGTTAGAACTAAAGGAGAGTAATCAGGATGACAATAGATAGCCATTGTCATTGCATTTAAATTTTTGAAGATTAAATTTGACGGACAAGCATGGAGCCGGAAAAGTGTTCCACGAGTGAGAAGTGCGAAAGACATTGATTAAGAATTTTACAAGATTTCGAAAATTCCGTATGGTTAAAATCTGATTTTTGCCTTCCTTTTAGATTATTTTAGAATACTGAACTTTCACCTCCCGATACACTCGCAGGGGAATGATTGCGTCTTTTTGTTGTGCGCATCTACACGCATGCGTGGCTCTGTATGTTTTAGTCAAAATGAACGCGCTGACTAATTTGTATTCGATCGCTTATAATATTATAGGTTTTGTTCAAGAGCACACATGTATGTATAATTGCGCTTTGAACATGTGTGCATCCATTCGTGTGTGCTGGGTCATCAGTTTGTATCCAAGAAAAATAGACCGAGTCACTTGAAACATACGTGTGCTTGGGGTGTTCTTTTTTTGTTTTTTGTTTTTTATTTTGTTTTTGGTACGTGTGCCTGTGTGTAAGCAATGACATGCGTGTTGTTATATTATAGGAAAGAAAGGAAGACAGGCAAAAAGAAATAAAAAGTTACATGAATAAAAACGAAAAGAAAATATAAAGAAAATTAAAGAAAGTAAAGCGATATAAGAAAGGACAATAAATGTGAGGAAAAAATGAAAGGAAACAGTGCTATGAGTAAAACAAGAACAGAAAATTTGAAGAAAGAAAGAAAGAATGAAGTGGCATGAGTAAAAACGGGATATAAATTTTGAGGAAAGACAAATAAATAAATAAATAAAGAAAGAAAGAAAGAAAGAAAGTGGTATGGGTAAGAATGAAATAGAAAATTTGAAGAAAGAAAGAAAGAAAGAAAGAAAGAAAGAAAGAAAGAAAGAAAGAAAGAAAGAAAGAAAGAAGTGGCATGAGTAAGAACGGGAGATGAATTTTGAGGAAAGACAAATAAAGAAAGAAAGAAAAAAGAAAGAAAGAAAAGTGGTATGAGTAAGAATGGAACAGAAAATTTGAGGAAAGGCAAAGAAAGAAAGAAAGAAAGAGAGAGAGAGAGAGAGAGAGAAGTGGTATGAGTAAGTATGGAATAGGAAATTTTAGGAAGGTAAAGAAAAAAAGAAAAGTGAAAAAAGAAATAAATGAATAAAGAAAGAAAGAAAAAAAGAAAGAAAGAAAGAAAGAAAGAAAGAAGAGAAAATTATCAAGAGATGGAGATAAATCAGAGAAGAAAAAGAAAAGACAGAGAATAAGAAAGAAAAAAAGAAAGAAAGAAAAAAAAAAAGAAAGGAAGGAATCGGAAAAGACGACAAGAAAGACAAAGGAAAATAACGACAGAGAAAATAAAACGAAAACAAGAGAAAGGAAATGATAGCGATACAAAAAAGTCCTAGAATTTCAGAATAACACAAGAAATAATAATAATAATAATAATAATAATAATAATAATAATAATAATAAAATCAGAGAAAGTAAGTGAAGAGAAGCGACTAACATATTTTACGAAATGGGAGAGGTGGTGGGAGTAAATAAATACATCCTATGGCGTTTTCAGCAGTGTCCGACACTTGATGTCTGGGCGTCGTCAGATAGGAGGAAAAGGAGGAGCAAATGCTAAAATATCTGGACTTCTATTGGTGCAGAATACAGGGAGGACGCTCGTTTAGTAAGAACGTTTCATGGCTGATGCTATAATGAAACCTACAGGCGCCGGGTCCACAGTAACAGCTATCTATCACCAAATTTCTCTTCATCATTCTCTTTCGCTTTTGATGGGGAGTACTGCGTCCGGAATCCGAATATGATATTAATAATAATAATAATAATAATAACTGGTCGGAGACTTCGCTTAAGACGACGCTTCGTGGTTTCCGTCATCGTCTTAGTCACAGTTGCCAATAAAGACAACAAAATACCCTGATGCCACACGACGCATAGTTCTTCATGGTTCAACTGATTGGAGGCGTTAACATGTATATTTTTGTCTTAACATTAATTAAGTTGGTAATGCTAAAATTAGCCGTTTCCCTCCAAGGAAACATTTGGTAATCAGTGAGTGATCGGCCAGTACTGCTTTCGATTGAAATTTATAAAATCTTTCTCTTAAAACAATCATGAGGTAAACAAGTTTCTCGACTCCAGTAACTGTTATCGCTCTTTCTACTACTGATGGGAATTTCCTTCCTAACCTTTTGTGTGGTGTAGCATGTTAGCATCTTGATTAAACCATTTAGTTTCTCTTCTAGTTACATTTGCTGTCCATTTTAATTGTTGCTTCTGTTGGTAGTTCCCAAGTGATTTTGATTTCTGTTATTTGGTACTGTTCTTTGTTTGTGATTCTGTAGCGCCACCGTTCAGTATCCCTGTTTTGCTTATCCGATGCCTGACCATAACAATTTAGGCATGACCACTAAGAGCTGACGTACTGCGCATCTCTGTCCAGGAACGGAAGTAGTTGGGAAGCCTCATGGTCCAATGACGAGAGGGTATTCTTTTTGTGTTTTAATGTTGAAGCAACCAAGGAGACTTGGGAGTTACATCAAGATACTTAGGAACATCCTCAATGAGAGGCCGTTTGAACGAATTGGGCTACCTGATCTGAAGAGATTTCTAACTCGGTGCCATTTGCAAGATTACGGTCTGTTTTTATCAAGACCTGTCACAGTATCACATTTGGCTGTGATGCATGCACCTAATATACACTTATCACACTAGGTGTTAAGATGGGTATACGGGGCTTCGTATATCCTTATACCTCAGCGTAGATTTTTTTTAAGCATTACGCCCCGAGCAAGGGGTTTGCAGAAGATTTGGAGCGAGAGCAGATAGGAGTGATAGAAGAAAGGATGAGGAGAAGGATAGTGGATAGATCAAGGTGACTGGACATGTCGATTGACATTACATTTGAATAGTTGGAGATTATAGCTCTCAGGGAAACAGTAATAGGGAAGGGTGTTCCACAGCCGAGAGGTGCGAGGTATGAAACTATTGGAGTAGAAGAGACTTGGAATAATGTTCTCTTGCTCAATAATGATATTAATAATAATCTTGTATGTTCACACCATGTACTGGTGGTTATTTTTAGAAATTAATTGACAAGCCGAGGAAGGCGAATTGATTAAATATCATTTTCTGTCGGACAGATATGAGTTTGTGTGCATTGCGATTGAGATGTCCTGCATTACAGGTGTGCAAACGGCTAAACGTTTTCATCAAATAGGCTTCATGATAGCCCAACTCCACCTTAAATCGCGTGAAACCTCTTGGCTCTTCCAGAAAGTTTCAATCACACCCGCCTTCTGCGCTCTTGCTACTATGACGACTAGGAATAATTCAAGTCTTACCGCTAAAATGTGATTTGTTAAAAAATCACTTTATCATACGACTTCGCATTCGAATTGGGAAACAAATTTTGCTTGTAATATCCGCGAGGTTTCGGACACTCAAACTTCCGGCCTTTATAGATAGGATACAACGGCCGAAACACTGCGGCTATAGCAACGAAGAAATTCCTAGTTGGAATATAAAAGCGTATAGCAATAATTCATTCCTACATAAATTAAATCAATAGGTTTTTTTTAATGCCATGTCCAATCATGTGTCAGACAATTCCTCTCCTCAGAATCTCTCTCCTACATTTATAAATCTACATATAAATATGATTGCTCTATAATGAGTTTATTTTATAATGTGCTTGTTTCATAATGTGCTTGCTCTATAATGTGTTTATTTCATAATGAACTTGTTTCATAATGTACTTGTTCTATAATCTGCTTGTTTCATAATGTGCTTGTTTCATAATGTGCTAGCTCTGTGAAGTGTTTATTTCATAATGTACTTGTTTCATAATGTGCTTGTTTCATAATGTGCTTGCTCTATAATGTGTTTATTTCATAATGAACTTGTTTCATAATGTACTTGTTTCATAATGTGCTTGCTCTATAATGTGTTTGTTTCATAATGTGCTTGTTTCATAATGTGCTTGCACTACAATGTGTTTATTTCATAATGAACTTGTTTCATAATGTACTTGTTTTATAATGTGCTTGCTCTATAATGTGCTTGTTTCATAATGTGATTGCTCTGTAATGTGTTTATTTCATAATGTGCTTGTTTCATAATGTGCTTGCTCTATAATGTGTTTATTTCATAATGTGCTTGTTTCATAATGTGCTTGCTCTATAATGTGTTTATTTCATTATGTACTTATTTTATATTGTGCTTGTTTTATAATGTGCTTTTTTCAAGTGAAATTTTTCTGTTTACCTTCCATCAGCCTGGCTGATGCTAAACTTCAGGAGGGCAACACTTTTCGCCTTCTTGAACTCATGTTTTCCTCTGACATAAAGTGGAGTGATTATATTGAATCAGTTGCTAGGTCTACTGCCAAGGAACGTCGTTCACTTTGTTGTGTCAGACAATTCCTCTCGTCATAGTCCCTCTTCCATATTTATAAATCTACCATTCGTTCGTACATTGAATACTGCTGCCATATAGGGTCTGGTGGTCCTGCTATATATCTCAAGATTCTTCATGAAATTCCAAGAAGTGTCTGTAATGTAATCGATGCTGACATGACATCTTCATTTCGAATAAAAAGTCGTATGGTATTAATTAAGTATATAAAAATTCAAACATAAATTACTTCAATACGTTTTTTTAAATGTCATGTCCAATCATGATATAGGTGCCCACAACTCTCAAAAAAATCCCTTTTCTTTATCTGTGAATTACCATTTGCTTCATTCCTCACGATTTTGAACTCAGAATTGTCTTTCTAGATCGGCGGCAAACCAAGGCTAAAGAACCCAGTCTACCCTACCATTTAATCCCTAGATAAAAGCGAAGAAGCGGATTCATGCTTTTCAAATGTGTATTAGTGCAAAGTCGAACACAACTAAACTGTATTGTTGTTTATTTTGATATAAAAATGCATTGTTGGTATTTTAATATAAAAATGTATTGTTGGTCATTTTAATAGAAAACTGTATTGTTGGTCATTTTGCTATAAAAATGTATTGTTGCTGATTTTACTATAAGAATGTACTGTTGGTCATTTTACTAAAAAAGTATTGCTATTCATTTTACTGTAAAAATGTATTGTATGTCATTTTACCAGAAAAATATATTGTTAGTAATTTCACTACAAAAATGTATTGTGGTAATTTTTTTATAAAAATGTATTGCTGGTATTTTTATCATAAAAATATATATTTATACTTTCCTAGTGTTTTGATTTTTGTTTGGGAGTTCATTATTTACCCATAGCTGGGACCCTAACAGGTGCTACCACCTCGGATCAGGCTGGGCCAGGAAACAACAGCAATTAAGAGGTGGTTCCAGGCTCCTCTAAACCTCCAGTCTCCTAATCAGACGCCTTGCTGCCAGATGTAGTTTATCGTCGTACCCAAGACTCTGTCAGAATCTAAGAATATTGATATTTTAAAAAATCATTTTAGAAGTGGGGGTCCTGTTCATAGCATCGATACAGTGTAAAATCAATCCGTGACTTTTTGAAAAGTTATTGGACTGCTCTTATTTGCATATATCAAGCGCCCTGTGTACGACTATAAACTACAGAGCATGGAACCACCTTTTAATTGCTTTTGTTCTCAGACCCACAGTGATCCAGGGTGGTAGAACCTGTTAGGGTCCCAGCGATGGGCAAATAGTCACCCCCTACCCTCCCCAAACAGGAGTCAAAACAGCATGAAAGTGTAAAAATAGATTTTTATAGTAAAAACGAAACAGCAATATAATTTTGAAAAAATATCACCAATACATTGATTCTTGACAAAAACACTCTTTACAAAAAAAAAAAAAAATACGTCAATGAAACTTAATCTAGAAACTGATTTTTTACAAAAAATACATATTCTATTCAAACGAACCTATCCTAAAAATCTCGTCGGCATTAAATAACCCATTGAGGTTGATACGCCGTAAAACAAAATAAATGAAACCAAACTAAACTCTGCTAAGACAGTGAGAGCTGAAGGGACAAGGTGGCTCTTGTAGGCTCAACATCTTCATAGCATGAGATTTAGAAGCTGCAGCATTAATGGTGAAGATGTGATTAGCGGTTTCCTTATAAGGAAACATTTGGCATTCATTGAGCGAACAGTTTGCATTATTATCAAGAGGTTGTGAGGAGCGTGGAACCACTTCTTAATTGCTAGGCCCACTCTGACCCGGGATGGTAGCCCCTATTAAGGTCCCAGTTATGAACAAAATAGTTACCCCTTCTCTAAACAGGAGTCAAAAGTGTATGAAAGTGTAAAAATAGATTTTTATAATAAAAAAGAAACAGCAATATAATTTTGAAAAAAAATCACCAATACATTTGGCACTCAACAAAAACTCTTTACAAAAAAAAAAAAGAAAAAGGTAATGAAAATTGATCTACAAACTGATTTCTTACAAAGAATACGTATTCTATTCATACGAACCTATCCTAGAAATCTTGTCGGCATTAAATAACCCACTGAGGTGTTGATATGCCATAAAACGAAATAAACCATCTCAAGTTTCAAACTATG